AACTCCCCCACAATCCGCAACAGTGACCTGCTCTTGTAAAACCTGAATTTGTTCACCTCAGTGTCTGTTGCTTTTGTGTGAATGCCACATGGATGGCGGGAGTGCCCTTTTCTGCCGCAGTTAACTGTTTTGGGGGAAGCTCCGTGTGTTAACATATTCATTCTAGGTGTTAACCTGCTTAATTTGGGGTTTTTACTTCGAAATTCCTTCTTTTGAGTCTTTTCACTCTTTCTTTGTTACTGTTACCTGCCCCGCCAATTTAGTGGTGGTCTGTTTTAACCACTTAACAGCCATGGTTATACTTTGAAATATTTTACATTTTAAGACTACAGTCTCTGCCCTTGCCTTACAAATGACATTCCATGTTTCTTCCCCATTATATTTTTTTAACTCTGTGGGGATTTGCAGGGAGGGGCTAAGGGAGCTCCCTAGCTTGTGGTTTTCTGCCATGTTAGATGGCGGTTTCTACGGTGGACAGCTCGCTTACTCACCAGATCAGTGGTCGGGGTCACCAATGTCGTCAGACGGCACCGGTGTGGTGCTCTGCTCTGGTCGATGTTGATACCAGTCAGCGGCGTGCGTGTGTTCCTGCCGGGCGCTGCCGCAGCTCTGCGCAGATCGCTGGCACAGCAGATCTCGAGCGAACCGCCCAATGACCACAGACACTGATAAGGAACGAAGGCACCTGGACAGGTTTGTTGTCAAATGAAGCACAGATTCATAGATTCATAGATTCTAGGACTGGAAGGGACCTCGAGAGGTCATCGAGTCCAGTCCCCTGCCCGCATGGCAGGACCAAATACTGTCTAGACCATCCCTGATAGACATTTATCTAACCTACTCTTAAATATCTCCAGAGATGGAGATTCCACAACCTCCCTAGGCAATAGTTTCCCTCAGGAATAGTTCCCCGCAGATTCTACGGGACATAATACGAATATGTGCCTCCTGATAACGGGGCGGGATTTGCCACTGCCCCCTAGGCTGGCCAAAGACATCCACTCAGGGATGCATTCTTATACACCAGTACAATCAGGTTTCACATCATTCAACCCATTGAGGTACAGCCCCTCTACGCATTAGGGTGTTGCCTTTCTCCTGGTACAGGTTGGTTCGAACAAACAAGTCTATCCATCATATTGTCCTTTTGACCCTGTCTTGAGGCTGGGTCTGCCTCTTCCTTGTTATCTCCGTGGGATGTGTTCGTACCAGGCTGTTCTGGTGCCGTCATGTAGCAGTCTTCCTCTTGCCAACTTCTGCGAGCCTGGACGGCCTCTGGCTCACAGCCTAACTTGGCTTTATGTTAGCAATGTCTTGACCATTACTTCAGTTCAGGCCTCAGGCCTCGTACTGGGCCTCTGATCCCAAGGGTTTATGTCTCAGTGAAGGCACAGAGACATGGGGACAGGGTTCACAGCCACATGGGGATGGGAGGCGTGGGGGTCTGAGTGGGAGTGCAGGGCCACAGTGGGAGAGGGGGTGGAGGGACATGTGGACAGGGGTGCAAGGACACATGGGGGCGCAGGAACACATGGGACAGGGGCAGATGTGGCTGACTGATTGGGAGAGGCTCGGGGCAGCCAGGGTCTGCCTGGGGGAGGCTCCCTCATAATCCCTCCCCGCCCCCACAAAAAACCCATTCCAGACTTTTCCCACCCAAACCCTCCAAGTTCACACACAGGCTCCTTCCCAGCAATTTACTGCCCTCCCGCTCAGCTCCTCCCTTACCCTGACTCCCCCCAGCCTTTGCAGGGCACCTAATGTTTCCTAATATCCAACCTAGACTTCCCCCACTGCAACTTGAGACCATTGCTCCTTGTTCTGTCATCTGCTACCACTGAGAACAGCCGAGCTCCATCCTCTTTGGAACCCCCCTTCAGGTAGTTGAAGGCTGCTATCAAATCCCCCCTCATTCTTCTCTTCTGGAGACTAAATAACCCCAGTTCCCTCAGCCTCTCCTCATAAGTCATGTGCCCCCCCAACCCCCTAATCATCTTTGTTGCCCTCCGCTGGACTCCCTCCAATTTGTCCACATCCTTTCTGTAGCGAGGGGCCCAAAACTGGACACAGTACTCCAGATCTGGCCTCACCATTGCCTGAGTTGGGAATATCAGACCCCAGCCCTGAGGCTCCCTCCGTTTCCCCAGACAGCCCCAAACTGAAACTCTCACCCAACCTCCCCCGCAGCTCCTCCCCCAGCCTTTGTCCAGTTTCCTGGAAGGTGGTGTCCCCTGGCCCCAACCCCCCTCCTGGGCTCACGTTACAGGCTTAGGTATTGTCCCTCCAGTGAAGTCACACCCTGATATCCCATCACCCATGCAGACAGTCCCAGCAAAAACCCCGCACAACACTCCCCGGTCAATCCGCTCCACTCCCTGCTCCATCACTGTGTAGGGGCTGGTTACTCAGAGGAGGGGGGGCTGGGAGCCAGGACTCCTGGGTTCTCTCCCCGGCTCTGGGAGGGGTGTGGGGGCTGGGGGGTTAGAGCAGGGGGCTGGGGGCCAGGACGCCTGGGTTCTCTACTCGGCCCTTCCGCGGTAGTTGTGGTGTGGGC